CATCACACAAATTCATTGTTAAAACTACAAGTGGTTAATGACAAATGAGTGACATTAAATACAATAAGTATTCATATGCATATATAAACATGGTCATATATTTGTTTAGTATAGTTACTGCCTGAGCTTCATTTTTAAGCCTGGCATAAATTATTTGAAACTTACTCCTATCCTGTCACCTTTGGCTTAGTTCAAACCTTACCTCTCCGTGTGGTTGATTGCTAGGTAGCCTGCTTGCTCCTCTTCTCGCTTATCTGAACTCTAACATAATCCATAGCTACTGACTGTGATACAACTTAATAGTAGACATCAGAATCATTTAAATAAACTCACCCTTCATTAGTGAAGAGAGGAACTTATTTCTTTTAACTAGCAAATCTATGAACTCCACGAGAAGACCTATGGGATAATAATACATGAACCTTAATAAAGGCTTAGGTCCCTCCATCCCCCATTGGCTCTTTACTGCTTCTGAAATTCTTTTGCCAACCTATTGGCAGCCCTAACCTCGCTGGAAATTATTGAGTAATACATTTCTTCTCTTTCGTGCATTTTGGTTTCATTTTTTTTGTCCTGTCTCACCAGACACACACTGAAACCTAAACTTCATTTGTCTTTCTAGGCAGGGAAACTCTTAGTGGTTATCTTGCCAAGAATACTGAACACAGTTTGAACAAGAGCCACAAAGATATCTGCCAATAAAACCAGTTTTTCTAAGTGGGACACCTGATCATGCATTGGTTACTTAGGCCATATGTTGTATGCCAGGATAAAGAAGTATCTCATGGAAGGTGCAGTGTGGACATCCATGGCCAATTCCTTTAGATTCCTCATTAGGGAGGGGGTCAAGCTTATGACAACTTTACCAAGAGTAACCTCAAAACTAAATTAAACACTTAACAGTTTGCCCTGAGTGTCACTTGGGCAGAGTGTTTGTTTACATGCTGACTATCCCAAGTGTTGTTCAGGCAGGTGTCATTTCAACCAGTCCATTCTTTTATTGAATACATTTGATAAAAATTATTTTTATACTTCCTGTTAAATTATCTTTTAAAAATTAACAAAAATATGCAATTTTTGATTATCTTATATTTAAGTGATTGGGTTGGTGAGTGGTTAAGAAGAAGCCATGACAATGCAGTCATAACACTTGTATACATATATACCTAATCTGTTCTCATGCGGCACAGATAAGCCAAATGAATAATCTGATATTACTTAAATTACACTGGAATTTCAACTCATTTAAAATAGGGAAATTAGTGTGAATTTTTAGTAAAGAAAGTTGTATTGAGAATGAGTTAAACCAATAGAAAACTCTTCAAATTATTATTTTTTTAGCTTACTTTTTCCCTGCTTAGCCATTTAGTATATACCAATGTGCACACTGCAGGCTCTGTCCTCCATCATTTCAGAAGGCATAGTAGAATATCATATTATGGAGATTCATTCTGATTCTCTAATCCTTTATGAGCTTAATGTCAGCATCAACCTGGTGTATCCTGTTTGGCCACCCACAAGGCATATCTGCAATGTAGATGTTGGCCTGGATCAACAATTGTGCTAATGAAAAATGTCTGATTGATATAAAATATATAGTGATATGGAATGTCTTGGTAGGATTAACGTCCCCTGGATGGCCCTTAGTGAGATAGGAACGGGGTCCATAGTGTATACCTAATCGGACAAGATAGCAGACAGCTGACCCATTGGTTTCTGCTGGCCATTAAGAACCAAAAACAGACAGCAGACCTGCCCTGGAAAGCAGGCTATCTAGGTTAGAAGTTCAACTTCTTAACGCACCCTCTTCTCTTACTTTTTCCTCCTCCTCCTAGCCATTTTAAATAATTTTTATTTTTGAGACAGGGTTTCCCTAGGTTGTTAAATTTCCCAGGCTGGGCTATAGTTGTGATTCTCCTGTTTCAGCCTCCCAGAGGGCTAGGATTGCAGGTGTGTATGATCTGCCAGGCTGATGACATATCATTTTTAAAGACAAAATTCAATACATAACACGTGTTGATGGACATTTGGTTTACTTAAGTCTTTAGCTATTTTAAACAAACCTGCTAAAAAGTTTATGTACAGAATTTTTCTGTGCATGCTTTTCTTTCCTGGGGTAAATTATTTGGATAAAATGACAGGGATATATATTGTTTGTTTAACTTTAAAAGAAACTATCAAATAGTTTAAAAAATACTATACTATTTTGTATTCCCTTTGGTTATTCATGAGAGTTCTGTTTGCTCAAATCTTTACCAAGGTTTATACTTTCACTGATTTTGTTACCAGTATTCTGTTTTATGGAGTAATCTAACTCATTGTTTTTTTAAATTTATGCTTCTGAGATGAGTAATGATGCTGAATATAATTTCATGTTCCTCTTTATTGTTAGTACAATGAATTGCATTGAATGTTAAAAAAAAACTTTGGATTCCTGGGATAGACTTGAAGATTGTGTTTGACTTACTTTTCTAACATTTTTTGAAAATATTTTTATGTTCATGGAGATTATTGTTCTGTAATTTTCTAATATCTTTTTCTGGGTTGGTATCAGATCAATGTTCCTCTCATATAGTAGGCTAAGTATTCCATAGGATTTGTGTAGAGCTGATTTTATTTTATTTTTTAAGGTTTGAAATATTATTGAGGCCATCTGGTCCTGAAATTCTTTGTGAAGAAATTTAAACTATAATTTATTATTAGTTTTAGAAGATAAAGTTATTCAGATTTTTTTATTTGTGTGTGCTCTGATCATTAGTCTTTTATTAAACTATTTGCCCACTATCTAAATCCTGTTTTTCTATAGTTCAGTAACCTCTTCAGTGTACTTCTGATCAACTTGAAGATTAACAAGGGTATGAGTATTAAGGTTTTTTGAATTTTTGTCTTTTTTCTACCATTATATTTCTGAAAAATCTAGATTAGGTACCCTGCAAATTTTTGAAATCTTTTATGCACTCACTTCTTAGCTTCTACTTTGCAAAGATTATGGCATATGTCTTGTATATTTTGGGTTTAATTTTATTTATTTATTTATTTATTTGGCACCGGGGATCGAATTTGGGTCCTTCTGCTTGTGAGGCAGGCGGCAGAACCACTGAGCTAAATCCCCGTTCCTGGGTTTAATTTATAATGAGGTGAATTTTCTGGCTTCTTTGTTGTTCTTTTAATTACTTTTATTCATTTTTAAAATTTTTCTGTGATCTGGACTTGCTTCATCAAATCTTACATTAAAAATATATCCTGGATGAAGGCCTGGGTGATTTGCTACTCCAGTATGAACTTAAGCTAATTTATATTTTATTTACATTTCTAGTAACTCTATTTCCAAATAAGCTCATCTAGGAACTAGGATTTGAACGTATGTTTTTACCATGGTGACCTCATATCAATAAAGTAATGGAGTACAAAGATAACGTCTTAGTTACTCATCCACTCCTGCCCCAGACAGTGGACATCTTTAGGCTCTACTCGAGTTTTTTTGTTTTGTTTTGTTTTGTTTTTTGGTACTGGGGAATCAAACTCAGGACCTTGAGCTTGTGAAGCAGGTGGTGGAACCACTGAGCTAAATCCCTGGTCCTCTACTCCAATTTTTATAGTACTCCTCTGCAAAGATAAAACTTTAATGAATTAGTAATTTAGAGTGGTACGTAAATCAATGATAAATAGGCATCATATTTCATTATTTTTATTTCTATTCATGCACCTTTCATCCTTTTATATCTCAGTTGTTGGGAAATGCAATTTCTTTTCCTATTGATTTGGTTCTTGCACATTTAGCAAGTATCAGTTCTCCCTGACCTCTTTTGCTGCATTTCTAAGAGAGAAGAATCTGAAGAGCTTCATTTCATTTTATTTAAACAAGCACTACTGTGCCAGGTATTATACATAAAACAGCTCAAATTCTCTCATCTGTAAATTTATAATTGCAATTTAACTGCTTCTGTTATAAAGATAGATTGTCATTTTCTACTCATTTTTAAAAATTATGTTTCTCTTAATAAGAGATTATTTACCTAGATGACTTGATAGCCTAATATGGCTTTTTACCATGTCTGGGGCAAATAAAATGCAATGTTCTGTTGTAAAATAGAATTTAACATTCATATGTTAATTTAATATGTTTTATATCTTATGTAAACCTAGAATCTGATTACTTATTTTAATGACCAAAACTGAAAACATACTTAAGGGAGAAGAAATTACAGTCAGATGGATTGAATGTCTTTTAATCCTTAGTTCTGAATTTTATTTCCATGTATTCATACTTTTAAATGTAATTTTAAGTATATTTCCTAATTTTCATTATTTCACTTTTTTTCTAGGTTAACTTTCTGATGTTTGCCCTAGATAAAACTGGCAAAATTAAATAAAAATCATAGGAAGTCATACCATACCACTATTAATTTGTTATAATGTTTAATTATACTCACAGTGAACCATATATTTTTTTTAGCATTGTTTTTATGTGTTGCTTGATGGTACAAATTTACTTAGTGTTTGTGAGACTCAGTTACTTTACCTATTAATTGGGGACACAAAATAATAAATGAAATTGTACTGGATGATTTTTCAAATATTTTCCAACTTATCTAATTATGCTTTTACTTCAGAAAATATCCAAAGTAAAAAAATGTAAAAGGTGTAATTATGAGTGCACATATTACATGTTGGAGTTAAGATTTTGGAGATGTTTTGCAAAATACTGGGAACTTCTATGACTCTCTGACAATCCAGTTATGACCAGTTATGATAGGATAATGGTCACTATCTAGCCTTATTAGTAAAGATTTCCTGGGCATGTTTTCACAGTCACATTGTAGGATGTAGTAATTGTTTTTTAGTGTTTTAAAATCAAAATCTTAATTCCTTCTTATGGCACTTTTCCTGAGAAGTTGACCTCTGTCTAGTCTGATCTCTCCTAATTTTATGATGACCTGTTGTTTTGAGTCTTTTGTGTCTATAAATTGCCATAATGCATGTAATTTGTGCTTCTGCAGGTGGTAACTGGAAAGTTTCCATAATCACCAGTGACTTGCCAAATGCAGGGACCAGCTCACAGGTTTATATTGTATTATATGGACAATATAGAAGTTCTGCCCCCATATATCTTTATGGAACAGATGGAGTTCGATTTCAGGATGGCCAAAAAGACATCTTTACTGTAAGTAATAAAATTGAGTGATGGTAGTAGAAGTGATGCAGCCAGTAGTAGGTACTTTTATTTTTTTTAATTTTATTTTTGGTACTAGGATCGAACTTGGGTCCTTGAACTTGGGAAGCAGGTGGCAGCACCACTGAGCTAAACCCTTGGCCTAGTAGGTACTTTTAAATGAGTGCAGCTTATGAAATTGGGCTCTTTCTATTATAACACCACATACCTGTAGAAATCAAGCAGAAGAAATTCATGGCAGTTTCTGCTCAAGCCATCTTCAGCAAACCCACCATATGAGGAGAATCAGTAGCTAGAAGAAATACTAGATGTTCCACATGTGCTGTTTTTGTATATGTGGCTGTCTGTCAGGAGCAAGGGATAATGTCTTTCTGGTTCTGCAGATAAGGTTCACAGGTACTGTCAGAATGGGCAAATAAAATTATAAATAAGGAGGGCAAAGAAGTTGCCATCAAGTAATAACAGGTAATTATTAATTGCTATTAGGTATTACTTGTTAACATGGCTGGACACAGTGAGATTAGGATCTAGAAAGAAACAGTAAAGATGAAGCAGAGGAAATTAGTGCCATGCTGTTAAACTAAGGTAAAAAATATTAGCAGTCAATGACAAGATAGGTCAAACAGTAGTATATAGATGCTTAATGATGTCTGTTGAATGACTGGATACATGAAAGGATTGTTTTGAACTGGATGGAGAGAATTAAGTCATAGTCAGAAAAGGATCTTCATTAGCACCTTAGATCTTTTTGGGACATTCACATCCGTGTGATCCTGGGTGTGTGGTTTACAGCAACCTGTGTATTTATATATTATAGGACAGGCTTACCCACTTGAAACTATCATTCCTGTTAGATTAGAGTGAATTATCCCTGCTGTACTTTATATTGAAACACTTTTATTGATGGTCAAGATAAATAAAAGTAAAAAATGAAGACTTTGTCATTATTTTTCGTGTGTAAGAAATAATTTTAGAAGTGACTACCCCAAAAATACAGTAGTCTGACTTGGTTTTGTTACTGTTTTGCTGTTTAATGTCTCATGTTTACTTTTAAATTAAACTTTACATTTATTTGACCTACAGGACAAAATATCTTCTTAATGAATTACTCCACCTAGAAATTTTATACAGTGTTGAATGGTAAAAACTGGTGTTCTAGCCTCTGGTATTGGGGAAAGTTTTCAAACCTGTGTATGAGTATTGAGTATTATGTATGCATTTTTCATTGGTGCTATTTCCATGTTCAGGAAATTCCTTTTTCTCATAGCTTTTCAAGTATTTTCATCATGAGAAGGTGTTGGATTTTATCAAATGCATTGTTTTTGCATCAGTTGAGATGAGCCTGCATTTTCCTTCATTTTATTCTGTTTGTGTAGTGTATTGTATGTAGTCAGCAGGATTGGGCAAGGGAATACATTAAATACAGGACATAGAATTTATGAGGTTATTTTTTGATAATTACCCAAAGAGTCACAAGCAAGGAGTGCAAGAAATTAACCACACACTAGAAGCCCAGAACATTCTACTGAGGGCCCAGATTGCAGCACAATCTAACCCACACAAGTCTAACTAAAGGCTCAGAGTCCAAGGCAATGTCCTCCTTGTCCAGCCAGTGGCCTAGAGCCCACAGCAATGTGTCATGCTTGTTCACATTGAGTATCTGCACCTGGAAGGCCCAAAGGCCAGTGGTGGAAGCCAGAAAATCTGTGCTCATGAGATGAAGGATCTGTGCCACCACGCTGAGGGATCCACATTGGAGCCAGGGGGTGATGCTCACGGCAAAGGTCAGAGCTCCCCTGATGAAAGCAGCAGCCATTCCCAGCAACAGCAAGATCCCAAGCTCCTCCTCCAATGAGAACAGCCTAGTTCGCATCAGGAAAACCATCCGCAGCAAGCTTCTAGAAAATCAACAGGCCGAGATCTTCCCTTCCAGTTCTCTTTTTATGCCTATTGGTAACAATCTTCAGGTGGATCCTCCACGCCTCAATCGCTCTGATTCAGTTCAGCTGAACATTACAAGTTGATCATTACTGAACCCACTATAATCATATTATTTGTATTTTAAACAACTATCCATTCCTGGGATAATACCAATTGATTATTATGTACAATCTTTTTAAAAAATACATGTTTATAGCACATAATTGAGGGGAGGTTATACATAACATATCTTAGTTCTTGTTTTTTTTTTTTACCCCATTCCCTTCTCTTCTCCTTTCTGTCTTGGACCTTATCTCCTATGCTTTTTGTATATGTTTATGGTACATAACATATTATGTTTATGGTAATTATCCTGTTCCTGGTAGCAACTTGATACAGTACAAAACATAGCACAATTCCTTTTTTCTTTAAAATTCTAATTTTTCTCCCCTTACTCCTCCACCTCCAACTCTCGTTTCCCTTCTCATATGCTAAGGATCTCTCTCTCTATTTCCTGTTGTCTCTCTTTTATTTTGCTAATTATTTATATTTTGGGCTTTTTATATTAGAGAAAGCATGTGATATTTAGATTTGTATGTCTAGATTTATTTCACTTAATATTGTCTCAAGGTACATCCATTTTCCTACAAATGACTTGAGCTTTTCCTTTTTTATGGTACACTTGTACTGCAGTGTACATAGATACATTTTCTTTCTTTTTTTTAAAATTAATTTTATTGGTACATTTTAGGTATGCAATATGCTGATATTAGTTATTGGAAATTTGTACCTTTACATAATATATCTTGGGTCTTATTTTTCCCCAACCCCCTGCCCTACTTTCAACCCTTCCAAGCCTCCCTATTTATAAAGACTTTATTTCCATTTTTCCTTTTCTCATATTTGTTCCTTTCCCTTATTTCCTTTCCCCTCCCCTCCCACTTCTTCCTCTTTTCAACTTTTCTTCCTATTTCACATTATCTTTCTTTTTCCAAATGTTAGCAGCATTTATTTTTGTCTTTGCATTTCAGTGAAGTTATTTGTGGTTCTGAAAGCTCTGAATGCATCCTTTTTTTTCTCATTGAGCTTATTGGTACATTTTAGGTATACAGTACAATTACATTCATTATTGGGATCTTGTACCTTTACATTACAGATCTTGGTTCTCATTTTTCCCCTTGTCCCTGCCTTCCCTTCACCCCCTTCTCTCCTCCCCATTTACAAACGTTTTATTTCCATTTTCTCATTTTCTCGTATTTGTTTCCTTTCCCTTATTAACTTCCCCTACCCTTCCCACTTTTCCTACATCTTTAGCCCTTTTCTTCCTATTTCACATTGTCAATTATCTCATTAGTATCTTATGTACTATTATAGTTTATTCACACCAGAGAAACTATTTGGTATTTACACATGTGTGACTTATTTATTTCACTTAGTAATATATCCTCATTATGTATCCGTTTTCCTATGAATGAATCTAATTTATAGAAAAACCACATCTTCATTATCCAGTTTCCAACTGATGGGCAAATGGGCTCTTTCCAAGTCACATTATCTATTATACATTTAGATCTTTATTTACACTTTCAGTTTCTCACACTAGAGCAACTATTCAGTATTTACATGTGTGTCCTATTTATTTCACTTAATAGTATCACCTCAATGTGCATCCATTTAGCTATAAATGTCTCTAGTTTCTCATTCTTCATGGCTGTCTTGTACTCCATTTTATATACAAAACACACTTTTTTATCCAGTCTCCAGTTGATGGGCAATTGGGCTGTTCAAATTTTAGGTATTATAAACTGTGCTGCTGTGAACATGAGTGCACATGTATCTCTGTGGTATGATTCTTTTTAATTCTTTTGGAAGATACCCAGCAGGGGAATAGCTGGGTCAAATGGGACTTCTAATCCTAGTGTTTTGAAGTATCTCCATACTGATTTCCACAGTGGTGGTACAAGTATACACTCCTACCAGCAGTGGAGCGGGGTTCCTTGTACCCCTCCATCCCACCCCAGTATTTGTTATTGGTTGATTTCATAACAGCAGCCATTTTTTCTGGAGTGAGGTGGAATCTCAGCATTGTTTTCATCTGCATCTGTCGAATGAGCAGTGATGTACATTTTTTCATTTGTTTATTTGCTATTTCCACTTCTTTGCCTGAGAAATGCCTATTCATTTCATATGCCCATTTTTGGATTGGTTCTTTAAATTTGGGAGGTCTGACTTTGTAAAGTTCTTTACATATTCTAGAAAGTAGACCGTCTGAGGAACAGCTGGAAAAATGGTGGACTTCTGGATTCCTGTACTCTGCTTCCCTATTGTCCAGGCAGGGTTGTGGCTGGGACCTGTGCACACTTGGATGGTATCTGGGTGTGACTCTGACTCAGGCCTGCCCACCTTTGTCGCCATTTTCTGGGAGGGCCTTTGGCTAGGGCTCTCTGCACCTGAGTCTTGAGTGGGCTTCTGGCTGAGTTCTGCATGCGGTACCGATGGTATCTAAGTGGGCTTCTAGCTGTTGCCCTGGTACTTGAGCAGTTCTTTTCCAGGTGGGCCTTTGGGTGGGGCCTATGGGCCCAAGCTGCTTGTGTCTGTGTATAGCCCTGGACTGGAACCTACACATCCATGCTACTCTGGTCTACGCATGCCCTTACTGATGGCATCTGGACAGGTCTCTGGCTATTGCCTGTGCAGCTCTTTTTCTAAATACATTTTCTTTATCCATTCATCTGTTGATGGACATACCGGCCATGTCCAAGACTTAGCAATTGTGAATTTTACTGCTATAAACATGGGTATGCATCTATTGGTATAATATGATCTCTTTAACTCTTTTGGGAATACACTTAGAAGGCAAATAGATGTATCAAATGGTATTTCTAATTTTGGATTTTTGATGAGTCACTATATTCATTTCCATAGTGGTTTTACTAGTTTACACTCCCAATAATGAAGAAGGGTCTGTTTTTCCCTACAGCCTCACCAGAATTTGTTGATTTCTCAATGATAGTTATCTTGTCTGGATTGAGATGGAATCTCAGAATTGTTTTAATTTGCATATTTTGAGT